GGATACTTTTATTTGAAAATAAATACATAAAATTAATATAAGAAGACAATTTGGATGCGCTCTTTTTTTCTTCGTAACGCATTGCAAAAATAAGGTCGGACTCGGGTTGGTTTTGTGCCTGTCGGTGCCATAACTCCTCATTGACAGGGACCAGCTACATCCATTTGGGTAGCTAGCTAAGATGATGGAGTATTTTTAAACCAACATTATATTACATATTACATATGTAATATAACATTACAACATGATACATATTGATATTGTATCATTATGCATGCTACAATATGGAATATACCATTATTTGTGAAAAAAATAATTCAAATATACTTTATATAGAATACTATTTCAAGTCATTTTAAACATGTGTTTGGCAAAAATATAAAGGACCTTGCCTTTTTGATGCCTGGCGCTCTCTGCAGATGAGTAAATAAACACCGCCATCAACTATATGAAGAAGTAAGGTAAGGCTGAGAAATGGGATAATGACAGAAACTCCCCTTCATGCACCCCCATGGTGCATGAAAAGCAGCCTATTAATCCAAGCGCGCAAGCTGCCGAGGCTCAACAAAGCTTTATATCAACAAAAAAGGTTTGTGATTTATGGTGAGGCTGGCTGTGTTTTGCTGCTCATTTGCAGGCTAGATGTTATTATCCATTGCCAAAGCTGTATACTGTCAGCCCTCTGGCCTCCAGCCTCCGCAGAGAGAGGCGGAATTAGAGCTTAAAGACATCTTTAGCCTCACGGTGACTTCAGACTCCGTCGCCGAGCGCGTTTGCTATGTTGCTCCCCGGGAGGCTTTATTGCGGGTTCAGATGGAGCAAAACTGAAATGCTTTCAGCCTTCTGGGAGCACATCCATTCATGTAAATAGATACTGTTATGTGGTTACAGGGTGCACAATGAAACATAAGTTTGTATTGAATGTGGCGAGACAGTGCAAAACCAAAATCGATACGCTGCAAACATCGCAGAAAATGCTGTCATCGATCGAGGCAGACTCGAGAATGAGTCTCACAGGTAACAACGAAGGTACAGTGTACCCGGCGGAGTCATTTTACAAACCGAAAGGCTTATCTTTTAAGACTTTCAACATTGTCAAAGTAATATTTCACTGAAATGTACATTTTGAGAATTTGATATTTGGAAAGAAAGACGAGTAGTAAGTCGACCAGTGTGGTTGCAGTATGGCTTCAGCTTCAGATGAGATTGTCTCACACATGCCATGATAAAGCCAACACTATGTCAAAAAATGAAAAAGCCAGGGATTCCTGGACATTCACCTGCATTGTGAAGAGGAAAACAATGAAAATAATGTGGTTCTCTCGTCTATGCGTTATTTTGAGATGAGGTGAGGCAGACAGCATTCTGCCTCACAAAGGTGGACTGACCAGTAGTCAAACACAAGCAACGGCCCCAAAACATCTAAACACAACCTGATTAATAAAGTTTGTTTTGATTTAAAGCAAGTGTTCTTTTCCCCTGACTGTTTTATGAGCAGCTCCTGGAGGGAAAAAAATATCCTTAACACACCCGTTCTCTCGTCTATGCGTTATTTTGAGATGAGGTGAGGCAGACAGCATTCTGCCTCACAAAGGTGGACTGACCAGTAGTCAAACACAAGCAACGGCCCCAAAACATCTAAACACAACCTGATTAATAAAGTTTGTTTTGATTTAAAGCAAGTGTTCTTTTCCCCTGACTGTTTTATGAGCAGCTCCTGGAGGGAAAAAAATGTCCTTAACACACCCCACACCACAGGATAATCACTGAGAGATAATCGGACCTTAGCTGACTTTGAGCGCAAGGGAGGGAAAATGCTTACATTTGGCCTGCTGGTCCGTATGAAAGAAGCCCGCTTTCGCTTGACTCAAAGTATTAGAACTCACTATATTAAGAGCTAAAAAGCTTTTGAAGAATTACTTTTGCAGCGTGTTTACTCTGGTGGTAGTTTGCACGTAGTTTGGTGGACAACTGCATCATACCGAGAGGTGTTTATTTGGGTTGCTAAGTGATGTTCCTGCTGACTTTATACACTTGGCTCCATCAGATGACACTGCCCCGACTTACATTCATTTATTGGAGACGTAGGATAACCTTCATCCAAGGCTGCACCCTTAAACATAATCACTCAACATTTGATTTCAGGCGGATCCCGCCTAAATAGATTTATGCTTCCACAACACACTCCCTTCCATCTGTGTGCTCATCACGCCGATGGCTTCTAAGCATTATTTGATTTAGTTGACAATGTGTCCTCAGCATTAAAGTCTGCCTCCCTCTTTCCCCTCCGTTTCCCCGCTCGTTCACACGGATACGGAGACACTGACAAGGTAATGGAGCCAGGCGCTGACATCCTCTTTTGTCTCTAATGTGCTCCATCTCCACAATCATTACAGCAGAGGCTGCTAATGTAAATAATGTAGAGGCCTTAATGACATCCGCCACTGTCTCCTTTGCAAACAGAGTAGCCATAGCTCAATTGTTTCGTGATACGTGTGGCAGAAAGGAGCCACTGCCTGCGCTGCAATTAAACAATTACATTATTAGAGTGGAAACAAAGATGATGGAGAGCACTACTGTCATCCTGCAGAGCAGGTTGGGCTGTTATGTCAATTCAGTACAGAAACTTAACAGGAACATCGCCCGATGGAGTATATAAAATGGTTAAAATTATCGCATTTTCACACACATCACTTCAGTTTTCATTGCTAATATCTTGGTCCCGACAGTTCATAATTTTTTTTTCTATTGAGTTCATTTGTTTGGACAATTACTTTTCGACAGTTTCCTGAATAAAATCATTTTCGATTAACTCTTCTTTCAATGCAGAGGTCAACAACTGGTCTGTCCATCCCGCTGTGCGCCTTCCAGGGAACTGTGTCTCTGCAGGCCCCCACTGGGAAGACCCTCTCTCTGTCCACCTACGAGGTCAGCAGCGACGGACTGAGAATCTCCCCGCAAAATTCCAAGAGGGTATGCACAGCTCTCTTGTTTTATTCTCGGTTACGATTCAACAAATGATTTATTTATTCGCATCACATTTTGTCACACACACACACACACACACACACAGACGCACGCAATGTATCTCTGCTCCACTTAAAAGCCGGAAAGCATTATGGCTTGAAAATCACCAAAGGGTGACAAATTCACAGAGCGTACATCCACAGTTTGGTTTTGGCTCACTTTCATTTTGCATCAAGTTTAAGTCGAAGACGATCACTGCCGCCTTGTGTACATGCGAGTGGTGCACCCTGGTTTTTCCACTCTATTCCTGCGTATGCTTGTGTAGGTCTCCTGCACTTATTTGGGTCAGTAGATGTCCACAAACAATTCAGACCGCCCTTGTTTTTAATATTACATATTACATTTCTTCCGATAGTGACCTGCTTTCCAATAGATGCGCCATGCTCAAGTTATCGGCAGGTGCATTTTCCACTGGAATTAACGCCGCACCTCAAATAGATATCTCCTGTTTTAGGTGGTGTATTTTGATAGCTGTGCAGGGGTCTTCGGTTTACGACAGTGACAAGGTTACGGCCGACGCGTGATGTCCGAATATGTGGTCATGTGGCACGAGACGGCACAGTCAGTTACCGGCGTACTTTGTGTTTTTTTTGCAGTTGACCCGATCCGATCACGTGATTGGAAATCGGAGCCGATCACGTGATTTTCATGTGATCGGCTGAAAAGGATCGGATTTGAGAATTGGCCAAGTTTCTAAAGTCAAGAATAAAATGTTTTATTTGTTTACTTGATTTGAACTATTGAATTTGAGTGATTTTGTGTCACGTAGTTGTTCACTCACTAGAATGGTTGCCAATTTTAACAGGACTGCATTGAAAGCAATATGTTTTTGCTTGACCTCAGGATACTTTTTCATTGACTGCTTTAATTATTACTGCTCTTTGTGTTGTGGACACGCACTGCATCATCACATTAAATAAGACACGTATATGCCCCTTGCACATTTTAACCAACTTGGATTTACTTCTTCACTGATTTAATTATTTGAGGAGATTTTTGACATCAATGTATTGTATATACTTACCAAAGGGAAATTGGAAAATTATTCTACATATACTGTACATACAACTATTAAAAAAAAAAAAAAGACTCCGTTAAAAGATAATAACTGGTCCTTATGACTCACACGCTCACAGCAACTACATTATTTTACTTGTGATTCCAAAAAGTGCAGATACCCCTTAAAATTAAAAAAAAAAAAAAAAAAAAAACAACCTTGCAGCATTTGTCATAAAAGATATATGAATGGGTGTACCAACCAATGCCCGCTGGCAGATGATGTGGCTCCCCCGTGACCTAATAAGGACATGCATATAAAATAGCTGGATGGACGCTTATGTGGCATAGTCGGCTATGCTAATCTCCTGCTGGCCTACAGGTGGAGGTGTACCGCTCCAAATCGGTGGGCCATGAGCCCAGTGCAGATGACAAAGCGTCAGGTGGCCAGACAGACGATGTGAACATCGCTGGTGTCAGTATGGGACAAGACATCGGAATGGGCATTGGAACTGCAATCGGGGACACCAACGTTAAGATCCACCTGGAGGTCCTGGAAATCTGCGATAATGAGGAGGCCATGGACAGCGTCTCCATTGTGTCCAACATCAGCCAGTCGTCCACCCACGCCCGCTCGCCATCATTGCGCTACTCACGCAGGGAAAACCGCTTTGTGTCCTATGACTTGGGCGAGACGGCCTCTTACTCCCTGCTCATCCCCACCAGCGGTAACGCCGAGGCTGAGGCCATGAGCATCACGATACCCGACACGGTGGAGGCCCATCGGCAAAACAGTCTGAGACAGACGCAAGCAAGCACTGGATATCAAGAAGAAATACAACTGCTCAACGAGGCCTACAGAAAACAGGCTGGAGATGCGGACTAGAACAACCTCCAGCTGTTGTCAAGCATGACTTGTGTTTATTTAATTTAATTGTCCATACATTTGTTTGTTGGTTGCTAGTTCCATTACAGATTACATGGAGGGCCATTGGTAGTGCAGTGGTTCCCACGGCTAACATTCATTTTCATATTCAATTCCCAGTCAATGGCACATTCACAATACATTGTTTTTAGAAAGAGACACCAAAAAATTGCATTGTTAAAATCGTTCATTTATTCATCTGAGCCCTTTTTACAGATACCAGTGAAGCAGCATATTGGGTGCGATCAGCTCAGAAAAATAGTAGTTTAAAAAAGAAAAAACAGTCAAACAGTAAAAAATGTAGCCAGATAGGATGGATTCCAGCCGCCCCACTTACCTGAACAGGAAAGGCAGTGCCAGAAGTCTACGGTTTACACCAGAGTTCCGTTCCAACACAACATGTCAGAGCTCCCAGTAAAAATAAAGGGCCTTTAGGTGTGTAGTTGATCACATAACTCATTTTTATGTTCTACTTGATTCCTGTTCACTGCCCAGTGCCCATTTGCAACTGTCTCCTCATTAACTTTTACTCAACTATCAGGCAAAATTGGCACATCAGAATAGCCACCATATATTTGTCTGCTATGGGTGACGAGGCAAGAGTGTAGTCTTCATTTTAAAATAGTCTGCTCTCGAGCTCGGATGCAGTCTTGAAAAATAACAGATGTCTGCAAGTTACTAATGAATGGGCAGTGCTATTTTGATTCAGGGGTTGAACAACACCATTGAAAGCACAATGACTGATCATCACCTACCTCTCAAAATTATTATTTTTCTGGTCCAGAATTTAGGTTTAGTGGGGATACTTCCATGTCCTGCGCCACCTCCCCCAGGTGCACGGCCAGACCAGTTGGTGACACATAATCCCGCCAGCGTGTCCTTGGTGTGCCCCAAGGCCTGCTCTAAACTTGACATGCCCGAATGACATTCTCAGTGAGGCATCCGGGAATCATCCATAATAGATGCTCCAGACACCTGAACCGGTTCTTATCTTTCATTCATAAAATCAGAGTTTAGGAGCATAGCTGAGAGTGGGGACATAAAGTGACGGGTAATTTGACAGCCCCATCAATTAATTTGTAAATTTTATGCCCCTTTTGCCATCTTTGTCCCCAATCCATCCAACGCTTATCCTGTTCAGGGTCACAGATGAGCCGGAGTCTCCCTGCTGACTGTGGGCAAAAGGCAGACTACACACAGGACTGTGTGTGTGTGTGTGTGTGTGTGTGTGTGTGTGTGTGTGTGTGTGTTTTTTTTTTTACTGTGCACAAGAATGTACGGAACCCCCAATCACCAGAACAATTTGGGCCCGACTTCCCATCCAATCAGTGAGCCACAACGGAGTCCGCATGCATACATTCATAAATCCATAACTAGGATTCCAGAAGACATTTTGCGCATTTTAACATCAATTTGAATGCTTATATTGCTGGCGAGCATCCATCAGAACCAAATATGTCTTAATTTTCCCAAATAATGAAGTGAAATTACGTGTGTGTGTGTGTGTGTGTGTGTGTGTGCGTGCGTGCGTGCGTGCGTGCGTGCGTGCGTGCGTGCGTGTGTGTGTGCGTGCGCGCGCGCGCGCGTGTGTGTGAAATTGTGGCATTCCAGACCAATTTGAATATACCGGTTTATGTGATGTTTTTTGATAGTGTGGAGCTGCTCTCGGATACATCATCTTTAATGCAGCCATTTGCAGGCTTCACAATCGCACCTCATCGGCTGCAATATGTTACTTCCCCCTGAAGAATGTTGTCGCCAAACATGCATTATGAGGAAACTATATGACTCGACTGCGGAGAATTTCTATTTCCAGCGATGCCAGCCAAGACGGCTATGAGAATTGCAGCAGTTGAAATGAAAAGTTGAATTTGACCGTTTCAGCTCTTAATGGTGCCAAAGGTTCTGAGTGAAGCTTCCAGGCGCAGCAGATGTGAACTGAAATACTGTCACTCAGTCATCCAATTAGCCATTTTTGCGTTTAATTTATCAATACACGTTTGTGTTCTGGCAGTGGGAATTCAGGGTTTGCACATCAGGCGCATACATGTTGATTTATGTGTGTCATCTGGTTCAGTACACGCAACTGGGATTACCTATTAGAAGAATTACAAATAAGGCGGGGCGGGGGTGGGAGGTGAGAGACATCTGTTTAGGCTTTCATTTGTTGCAGTGCTGTGATTATTCTACAAAAGCTTAATGACACATTCATTTGTCCTCTTTAGATGAGTATATTGTTGTTTTTTATTGCTTATGATGGACACTAAATGCAATGTTCTCCACAATTTAAAACAGAATAAAGGTTCTCTGACATTCTTTGGTCATAACACACAAGATAAAGAATCGCGCCCTACTTGAGCCTCCTTGGGTCCCTTCTAAGATGCTATATCAATCAATGTTTATTGGTAAAATTATGATTAACACACACTTGAAATCACTCTGCTCACCCGTTCGCTGTTCTACGGGGCCGATGGGCATTTGTTACCATGACGACCAGGGGCAGAGCTAAGGCGTTGTCAATGTCGGAAGAGAAAGGCAATCAGAAAATCGGTCAGGAAAGCGAAATGTCCTCAATGGTGGATTGCGTGACTCAATTCCATTAGTCAATTTGTGTTCCGCTCTGCACATGTGGTGCATGCAGCATACAAATCGGCAAACGCAAAACCGAACATCCGAGTGCCTCAGTGTAGTCTGGTGGTCGAATGGCTGATCTACACCAAGTGGAGCTTCTGAGAACAGAGTTGCGTTATGCAAATTTACCCCACTGTTACATCACAGTGGAGCATGATTCGAGTGTACTTGATTGTTTAATTTCACACGTGATGGCTGGCCAGGCACTCCAAAGATCCAACTATTTGTTGACAAGGAGTCAGAACATTTTTTTTCCCAAAATATCTCCCTTTGGCAACTATATCTTAAAAGTGTGAGCGTGGTGTGTAGTTCAAGTCGAGCTACACAATAAAAAAAAAAATGTAGAAATGGTGAATATGGCACTGAAAACAAAATCCTCTGGCCTCTTTCCTCTGTCTCATCAAGGGACATCTCCATCCCACTCATAACCTCAAAGAATCATCAGAAGGAAACCAGCATATGTTGCAATAGGTAGATTATAGCTCAACTGCTTTAGTCGATACATTGCTAAATATTTATGTGAAAAAGAGAAAAAAAATCACCAAAGGCTTTTTTATTATTCAGTGGGCCCACAGATCATTTGTATGCATTGCCGGTTGCCCCGAGGCAAACAAAACAAGGTGTGCAGACCTGGCATCATCAGTGAGCAAAGGGGAAAAAAATAATGCACATCCTCATTCCTCACAGTCTTCACGATTCAAAAAGCTCTCGTTAGTTTTCTTCCACTTCTTGCGACGCTCTCTCATTTAGCTTCAGCTCTTGACATTTTCTCTCTGACTGAGTAGTCCGGGTAGGGAAATCGGGAGTTCTAAATAACACTACAGACACATTAACTTGCTCTTGGCAAACACTAATTTGTTTTTTCCAGAGCACAAAGCAATATAATGAATGTCCTCAAATAGCGGCTTCTACTATCTTAACTGCCATGCCTCCAATTAATCATCGGTGCGTAAATAGTAAGTCAAACCTCGGTTTTCGAACGTCTCGGTGCCCGACCAATTCGGTTTTCGACCAAAAATTTCGAGTTTTTTTATGCCTCGGATAACGACCAAATTTCGGTTCTCGAACAAACTGAGCGCACTTGAATGCACCATTTGACTCCTCTCGCCTTCCTTACACGAGGAAGTGACGCTTACTCGTTGTTGCTTTCCATTGTGAGCAGACGTGTTCAGATATATGTATGTATTAATAATATGTTCGTTTTGTTTTCTGTTTACTGAGAATTGTATTCTGACTTGTTCAATAAAGATTAAAAAAAAAGCAGACGTGTTCAGTAAACATTTTTATTTTAAAAAGTGCATGGTTTCAGTTTTCGAACAATTTCGGTTTTCAAACAGCCTTCTGGAACGGATTATGGACGAAAACCGAGGTTTGACTTGTAGTAAATAAAGAGACACCTTGTTTTTTTTTTTGTTTTTTTTTTAGGGTTCCACTCGGTGGCTGCGGTTACTTTTATTCATTGACTGATACCAGCATGTGGTCTTTTGAAGTCTTTACTGCAACACAGATCTTCAGTATGAGCATCTGTAAAGCTGATGCTTTCAGTGGGAATGCCATGACACTGCATTGGGTTCTGTGTGAAAGGATCTCGTGCAGCAATTAGCAGGAACGCAGCAAGGTGGAGGAGGATGAGGAGGAGGTGAATATTAGGTGCAAGGTTTTCATCATATGGCACGAATGACTCAGTCACACCTTCCATCTCTCCTCCTCATGTTTTTACACATGCGCTTCATGACACCATTAGGATGTAAAGTGTCAGCGAGATAAAAAGCAACCGGTGCCTCATTTCCTGTAAATTTGCCATATTCCAGCTGAATTCAACAAAGAAAGCCGTCTGGAATTTCAGGACATTCGTTAAGTCGTTAGTGGAAAATGTGCACATTTTGGAGAAGCGCGCTAATTAGTCACGTTACTCTAAAATACGTTACTTCATAATGTGTTGCGGACATCAACAGCTTTTGGACTAGTATGAACACAATTGTGGAAACATGACGGAAATTTTGTTTTGGCCTTCAGGTTTTAAAGTGGACATACTGTATCAATGATAATTGAAGTAGAAATCTGGGTAAAGTGTCATTTACATATTGATCCTTGGTGTGTTTTGACAAAAACTTGTCACAGACATTTCATTAAGACATCTGGAAACAAACACCTCCTGAATCCTTTGCTCCTGGTTGCATCCCTTAATCCAACTCCTACTGTATGTAGTTACTGTTGTCGTATACTGTACCGTTGTTATCCTGTTATACCATTGTTTTTGCTGTTATCTCTTTTTGCTATGTCTGTCAATCTCTTCTCAAACCTTGTTCTGCCCAATTGCATTCCCAATAAAGTGACATATCTTTTCACATAACAGCAGACAAACACGCCTGTTACACAGAATAAGTTACGGCATCAAGGTAAAGAGCTCCACTGCAGTGCATGAATAAGTAGCCAAACGGTACACATACAAAAAGCTGGGAGAAGGGGTGGGGTGGGGGGGGGGGGGCGCACTTGGGAACTGTTTGAAATTGTGGGGGTGAAATGCATAGTGTAGCGCCTTGAATAGAAAAAGCAAGCCATGTATAAGCAGTATGATAAATCAATATGCTGCAAGTAGTTGATTTTTATTCATTTTGTCAGGTGAATATTAGTTCTGTTTAAATTTGTGATTTTTGTTAGGTATTACTCAATCTATCGATCTAGCGATCAATCTATCTATCCGTCCTCCCACCCTTGCCCGCATAAACCAATCACAGCCCCTGACGTCATTTTCATTTGCAAACTACAACGAACAATGACGTCAAAATGTGCGACACACCAGATAGAACCAAGCGCGTGAATAGCTAACGGCTTGTTTATTGCGTTATTTTCAATCGACATATTAAGTAGATTAGACACGTGTTTCGTAAACGTCAATTTTAGTGTTGGTTCATTTTGAGTGTTAGCTTCCGTTCGTCCCGTTGAACCGCATAGTCCCAAGCTAATGCTAATGCTGCTTGCTCACAGTGGTGTTGACAAGTTCTGTCATTTTGTGTTTCTAGCGGCGGTATGAGTTCTAAATACGGAGGCGGTGGCCGAGGCAGAAGAGGTGGTAGTAGTAGGGGGAGCAGTAGAGGCCACCGTGATGGCAGCAGAGAAAGAGCCGGCCGGGGAGGTGGGAATAGTGGCAGCTTCGACCTGGACAACGCCAGTGGTCGCCATCCTTCACATTTGAAGGGCCGAGAGATTGGCTTGTGGTATGCAAAATTCGGAGCCGTGAGAAAGAAACAGGCAGACCGGCGATCGGTATGTATGTTTTTTTTCCCCTCTCGGTGTTAGGGACTGTTTGTCTGGATTTGCCATGACCATACATACTGTGCTCGGATAACGTGTAGAACTTGTGACTGCTCTCGCGAGCATTTACCGCATTAATGCTCCGTTTTTGCCTGCATGTGTGCAGAGGGCAGTGGTCCAGATGGATGAGGCCAGAGAGCAGCACATTATCAAGCTGCTCGACTCTGTCCAGAATGACCAGTCAGCTCTGGAAAGACCAAACAGAGATGCGAGAGGCTCTGCATTGGACGGCTGGCGTGCACCTCCCAGTAAAAGTAGTCACTGGTGAGAAGTTTTAACATGATGGATTTTAGGCAGAGATAGACAGGACAGTACAAAGTTGAGGGAATGTGACATTAACTGTCCCCTCGTGAGATCGAATTAAAAAGACTGTGATGAACATGGAAACTAGGCTATACATGTCTGGTTAAAAGGTGTGATGTTGACACAGGCATGACTGTGACCAATGTGCTTTTTGCAGCTACTTTGACGGAGACATGACTGAAGAGGAAAAAGAGAGAATCAAATTTGAGGAGGAGGGGTAAGACATTGACACAACACACAAAAAATGATACCCACCGCATTTCCTCAGATGGTCTTTTATTTACTCAACTGCAGAGAGTACCAGGTGTTTGTTAGAGTTCTGTCTTTGGGCAGTTGGCGGGGTACACCCTGAACTGGTTGCCAGCTATTTGCAGGGCACACATAGATGAACAACCATTTGCGCTCACAATCACACCTACTGACAATTTAGAGTGTTCCATTAGCCTGGCATGCATGTTTTTGGAATGTGGGAGGAAACAGGCTGGCACGAGGAGAAACGCGCAAACTCCCACAGGAAGGCCGGAACTGGAATCGAACCCTGCACTTCTTCACTGTGAGGCGGACGTGCAGCCAAACTACAATGTAAATATAGTTGAAAAAGAATAAGACAAGATTGCTTCTTGAGAATATTGCATGTTATAAATTAAAACTGACACAATTGGTACTTAAACAAAATTTCTCTGCACGATTTATCATGCCAAAGCCTCCATTGCTGCATTTTGTGATGGGACTGGGGCAAGCGATGTTGATCATCCATTTTGCAGTTGCCTAACAAAGTGTTGTCATCCTTGCTTAACTTGAAATTTGTCCACACGACTTACATGGCTCCGACTCTAGCAAGGTATTATACATGTTAGGTTTGTAAAATGGAATTTGTGTCTTTGTCTCGAACCATTTTTTTGAAGCACGATTTCAGTACATCGTACAGAATCTCTCATCCCTAATCCTGTGGGTATCTTGAATTGTCGTAGCCCCCTAGCTTCATCCTGGTTGTCATGATCATGTTGGCACCACGCCCAGATTCGAGGAGAATAGGGTGAGCAGTGCCTTGTTTGCATGAGACATGCGTGCCCTCAAAATAGGCTGAGTTGAGTGAGGCTAAAAAAATAGAAGATGCTGTAATTCCTCATCGTTAGGGTAATTTAATGAAAGAATGTCACAGTAAGGGCAGCATGGTGGACTAATTAGAATGTCTGCCTCACGGTTCTATAATTCAGGGCTTCTTACAAATTCTTTTCCTACGCTTGCCTTGTTACAGACATTTTATGAGACTTGGGAATGTTGTAAATTGGCGGGGGGAAAATGATGCATAATACCGATTTATCTCTGTCGGTGGATGATTAATTGAGTCATGGTGTGTTTTGGAGCAGTGACTACTATTTATGCACCTATGTGGCATTCGAGCACACCGAATGCCAACTGATATGATTTCCTAATTACAAATGATTGATGACTCTGCATGCTATCTCATTTTTTTTTCACATTTTGTCCCATTAGTTCAATCTCTCAAGCAGTTGTTAAAGATGAGATCCCTGACACTTGGGATGATGATGATGACGATGATGCTGATGATGACGTCATTGACCATCGTGATGATGATGATGATGATGATGATGATGTGGAGCAGCAGCAAATGAAGGGGGGTGAAGACAGGGAGAAAGACAAAGATCTCGAGTTCTTACTCCAGGAAATAGCCAGAGACGTTTCGCTGGATGAGTCATTGAAGAGGGATCTGCAAAGTAAAAAAACACACCCCAAGTACAAGGAAATGCTGGTGAGTTTTTGTGAGCATTTGGTGTTCTTCTCCTTGCTATTCAATGCTTAGTAATGTATCTCTGTCCCTTTCCATAGATGTTCAGAGAGAAGCTGCCATCGTACGGAAAGAAAGAGGTTCATTCCTCATTTTGAATTCAGTGGTGTATCGAGATACAAGTTTAATTTGTTCTGTGACGCTGCTCGACACTCAAATCAACTTTCCCCATTGAAATCAATGGAAATGCCATTGATCTGTTAAAGCCTCCCCCGCGAAAAACACTTCTCAACTAACGCTTTTTAACAACTTAAATAGAATGTAAAGAATTAAGCAGTTTGTGCGTCATGACTTAATGCTGCAGTCCAATTCGTTGTGCTGCTCTTTCTGCCAGACACAAAGAATACTCTCGGAATCGGCATCAACCTAAAAAATGCCATCAAACCCCTAAAGAATAGTACTTGTCCTGCTACTGCAAGTGATTCAGAAAGATGCTGGATGACATTGTGCTTTTTTGTCGTCAGGGTTGTTATATTAGGTCTATGTGTTGCTCCATCGTTTGTGTTCAGATATGTGTTGGCTCTAAAACCACAATGTTTTGTTTTGGTCTGACAGTAAACGTGAACTACACATGGCCTTAAACAGCAGCCTCAATTTTGAAGAATTGTTCATTATTTGCCAGACTGCTGCTTATTGCGAATTGATTAGTTCTCATGATTGTGCTTGCAAGTCAAAACGAAAAATCTCCCCAATGACAGCTCGAATCTCCCAAAATTAAGTTGGGTGAATTGTATCTCAAGGCACCACTGGACAAACGTTAATACCGTACTTTCCTGTCTTCTCAATCTGATCACGTGCCATCAGGAGCTGGTCCGGCTGATCAACTCCAACCAAGTGCTGGTGGTGAGCGGCGAAACGGGCTGCGGAAAAACCACCCAGGTGACTCAGTTCATCCTGGATGACCACATCAAGCGCGGCATGGGCTCGATGTGCCGCGTGGTTTGCACGCAGCCTCGACGCATCAGCGCCATCTCGGTACGCCGTCTCCGCATTGTAACTCATGTCGTCGCTTCGGCTCGACGTTCTGCTTAATTTGCCCATTTGTGCCTCGCGCAGGTAGCAGAGCGCGTGGCTGCTGAGAGGGCAGAGAAGGTTGGCAGTGGGAATTCGTGTGGTTACCAAATTCGCTTGCAGAGGTAAATTATTCATTCAACATGGCGCCCGTTTTCAAGTTCTTATCTTTTTTCTTTATTTTTATCGATTGGACAGCTCACAAATGACAAGCAAAAGCATGTGTTTTTGCTGCTGATGTAGTATGTGGTGCATTTGAGATGACCAATACAGAGAATATAAAAAGACTACACACCCCTGTTCAAATGCCCGACTTTATGATGTACAAAATGATACCCTTTGAAACTTATTTAGACTTCACTCCTCTTTTGTCTCAAATCATAATTTTTTTTCTTTCGGTTAAATTTTAAGGGAAGTTTGTGTTTTCTATGTAACTCTATTGATAAAGCTTGACTCCAGGTATGACTGTAGACCAGAATTGCTCTGCATCGGTACAAATAACGGTGAATCAAAGTGTGAGAAAAAAGTCTGAATATGATCCACTCATTCTTTTGGATTTCATTAGTTTGTGCCGGTGCCACTAATGCTGTGGCTTACTATTGTAATTGGATCAGTGTACAAAATAAAAGCTCCATAAATTGGAGTTGTGCTGGAGACAGCTGGTGCGTGATGAATGATAGAGGAGATGAAAGCAACAAAGATAGTAGATGATAATGAACACCACCTGTCAGAAAATGAGGAACATCATGGTCTCCTGTCTTGGTCTTTTCTTCACATTTAAAGAACAGAGATGGTTTTGCAAATTGCCAAACTTTATTTTCGACTTTTGTGTGTAAAGTTTTATTACAACCTAATTTGGGAAATGCTGATTCATTTATTTGTTTGTGTCTTTTCCGCAGCCAGTTACCACGGAGACAAGGTTCGGTCCTGTACTGTACCACGGGCATTATTCTTCAGTGGCTTCGCTCTGACCCGTGAGTGTCCCTCCTTGCAGCATTTCGTTTTCGACTATTTCGGCTGCTCGTTCTTCCCTCTGCGTCACTCGACTTCATTGATTTGTGCTTGCTGTCAGTGCCAGACACATTAGTATGGACCCCACATCCTCTTAGGCAGAGTAAAACACACACAAACACAGTTGAGTCATCCCTGCCCGCTCTTGCTCGCATCACAAGTAACCTCGCTCGGGAGCGAGAGTGCCAACTTGTGTTATCTCAACTGTGCTCATCCCAAAGTTGGCACGACTTGACCCGTGTGAGTCATTTTAAGACCACGGGCAGCCTGACAAAAACACTGCAACTATTATTCCTCATGTTTGCACAGCACTGTGCCCAGAGGTTGGTACAGTACTTTGATACTTTTATACATTTTAAGTCTGGAGAACCCAATAACTTAATTCCAGATGAGCACCTATAGTACCAAACAGAGATCGCATCAGTTTGAATCCATCCATCCATTCTCCGATCCGCTCATCCTCACAAGGGTTGCGGGGGTGCTGGAGCCTATCCCAGCTGTCTTCGAGTAGTCGGCAGGGGACACCCTGAACCGGTTGCCAGCCAATCGCAGGGCACACACAGATGAACAACCATCCACGCTCACACTCACACCGAGGGATAATTTATAGAGTGTTCAATCAGCCTGCCATGCATGTTTTTGGAATGTGGGAGGAAACCGGAGTACCCGGAGAAAACCCACGCAGGCCCTAGGAGAACATGCAAATTCCATACAGGGAGGCTGGAGCTGGAATTGAACCCCATACCTCTGCACTGTGAGGTCGACGCACTAACCACTGGACCACCGGGCCGCCTCAGTTTGAATCCTAGAGATAAATTTGCACAAGATGCTGGCTCTAACTAGTTAATTATCACGGGGTATGTATGTGAAAGCCCCGCCTGAATCTGAATATTCTTATTTTCTTACCTTCTAAGTTAACGCTGGTCAATGCACACCCTATAGCTGTTGCCATCCTAAACACCATTATCTGTACAGGCAACTTATTAGGTTATTACTTATAAGGCTATTTATATAACACCTATAAAAAACACGTTTACAAAGTAAATAATGAAAATCGAAAAAAGTAATCTGGAACAAACCTTCAAATTTCAAGCAAAATGTCTTGGTCAATGTTGATTTCATGTTGGAACTGCATACCATATCATTGTAGCCAATTAGCATGCAAGCTGGCAAATGTAAACACATGAAGGTATCTCATCATTCAAACCGTCGCCATTACAGAAGCGTGGAAAAAAATCAAATGAAATGCGTAAAACTTGTGCTTTGTTATTCTTGTCAGGCAGTTATCAAGTATTAGCCACTTGGTTCTTGATGAGATCCACGAGAGAAGCCTGCACTCAGACGTGTTGCTCACCATCGTCAAGGACCTACTCGACGTGCGACACGACCTCAAGGTTGTTCTGATGAGTGCCACGCTCAATGCAGAGAAATTCTCCAAGTACTTTGGTATTTTCCTCCGAAATGACAAGTCTCATCTTCCAGCACTTATGTTTTAAACTTAGTACATAATTGTGCTCTTTCTGGGTCACGTGCTTTAGACAGTTGCCCCATGATTCACATCCCGGGCTTGACATTCCCAGTGGAGGAGTTCCTGCTCGAGGACGTTGTGGAGATGACCAGGTAGAATATGTTATTTACGTGTAGCCGTTACACGTAACCGTTGAACCCGTGTGTCATTTTTTTCCCCACCAGGTATCGTCCCAAGAACCAGGACCGCCGACCCGCCTGGAAAAGAGGCTTCTGGCAGGGGCGCCACTCCAGACCCGAGAAGGAGGAGAAGGAGGCTGAATACAAGGAGAGCTGGCCTTGTTATGCTCGCACACTGCAGGCCAAGTGGGTTGGAAAATGCTAAACTTGAATGAGTAGCTTTTGTTCACTTGTTGTTTGTGGATTTGAAGGTCAAGTTAACCCTCACATATGTGCTATCCATGAATTTACTTTGTCGTTTTTTTTATTTATTTATTATTATTATTATTTTTTAAACGTGGAACCTCTCAACTTGCTGAAAACTCACCTCTTTGTGCTTTTGGTGCTCCTTCTGTAATGCTCTAGCCATGGGTGTCAAACTCATTTTTATCACGGGCCAAGTCATAATTTTGGTTTCTCTTGAAGGACCCTCATGACTGTGAACTCATATAGATGTATGATTACCTCATATTGTTACGTATACTCAACAAATTGATGGATACCTCGTTTTTAAAATCTGAATCCAGGTAAATGTTGTTTGTTCAACTCCAATTCTATTGATTTAAAAAGTTCAATTCATTTAAAAGTGTGCCTGGAAACAAAATTCTTCAATCACTTGACCTCTGCTCTTTGAGGTCAACGCACTAACCACTGGACCACCGGGCCGTCCAACATGAAGTCGAGGTGCAGAATTGGCCTAAAATTATGTGACAGGCCACATCTTATCCCCGAGCCTTGAGTTTGACACCTGTGCTTTAATGGCTTGCATTGTTGAAGCGATACATCTCAATTATGAGCTGAACGTCTTTACATATAGGGGAGGAGCCAAACGAAGTTTGAGTTATTAGTGGAAATTACGGATGCTCTTTGCTGCATGTACATGTGCCAAACACCTGTCCATCATGTTTGAGTGGTCACGCTGATGCCTAGTAATATGACATGCATCTCATTTGTTTTCCCCTAGATACTCTGAGAGCACCATCGCCGCTCTTGAGATGCTGGATGGCGATGACAAGATTGACTTGGACCTCATCTTGGCACTTATCCGCCATATTGTGCTCAACGATGAGGTGATTTTGCCTTAATACACTTCAGAAGGTACACTTGTGCGCATAATCAGGTCGTGCATAAGCAGATCCAATCTCAGCGTGATTATCCTTGCTGAACGTATGTGTGGAGATCGGGCAGATGGGAGCAACAGCACGGGTAGCATCCAAGCACACAGTCACATAAGATCAGAGAAAATGACACGACAACTGGGCAGGCGATCAGCGCTAATGAGCAATTGCACAGATGCTCTCCCAGTGCATGTTCATCGCACGTTATTTTTGTCTCTTTCCAGCTCCGCGTCAAACATCCTTTGTTACTGTTGCCATGCGTATTTGGCAGTGGTGCAAAGACTTTAGTTCTGTTGTTTTAGATAAGACATAAATGCACAAACTGCTCGGCAACCTGGCTGATATTATGCACACTCTATCACAATTAACTGAAACAAGGAAGCTGACGATAATGGATGTACAAATATTTGTAACATCCAGCGGAGTCATGTAGATATATATTATAAACGGACAGAGAAAAAGGTCAAAACCATCAGGTTTGCAATATTGAAAGAAATATAAAAGAAGAGGAGAACCAAGAACTTATTATCATAAGCAATTGGATAGCCCACGGAATATAGTGGGGTTGTTTTGACAGCAGGACTATGAAGCACAACTGAGGAACGCAGAGAGACGGAGTCATGAGCCCGTTCCATAAGAAGCCGTCGTGTCCGTCAGTCCGAGCAACCGATTGACGGCGGCGTATGTCAGCTGGCCGAAAAGGAACGCGACTGATTGGCCTTGACAAGATGGTGAATAGACTAAGCGGCCAACTGCCCTGTGTGAGTGGTTAATTATGACTGCAGCGCTCCACAATAAGACACTGGGGCAGTTGTTAACGGACAGTTGGGGGAAATGGTAAGTCAACATGACAGACATTGCCGTTCTAATTCCTCCGCTTATTAATAAAAGACTCTGGAGACTAATGCAAATAATGAGCTGTAATTTAAACACAGCGATGCTCGCAGACAAGAATCAGCTCTTCGTGTCTGCTCCTATTGAGAAGATGAATTGCATAGTTATTTTCCAACCAATTTAATTTCATCCCCGGGCGTATTTCTTTCTCATATCTAAAAGCGGTGCTTTGAAATGATGAAAAGCCATCAATAACAAAATAAAAATAGACCCGCTCAAGTTGTCTCCCAACACGCCGTTGCAATAAATTTGGCAGCAAATGCCAACCTGTGCGATAAAGTGTGCTAGATAAGAAACTGGGAGGAAATAAATGTTTTTGACAAAGACCAAGCCAAACTAGGATATGAGAGTTTCTTCATTTCATCTTAGTTTGGATACTCCTATGTGACGCATCATTGTTCTGTCCAATAGGAAGGAGCCATCTTGGTCTTCCTGCCAGGCTGGGACAACATCAGCAGCCTCAATGACTTGCTGATGGCACAACAGATGTTCAGATCAGGTAGATGCATGCACACACATGCACACATGAAACACATACATGTTTTCAGAGTGATTTATATGTCACGTGACATCATCATAACAGCAACTATATGCCACAATTGGAACATCCTCAAAAAGGTACAAAGATGTGCTTTTCATCTCTGGTAATACGATGGCAACCATGAATAATTTACTTTAGTTGTCGATATTATTACTGGACCAGCCAGAACACGCTCATGTACCACTCACAGCCACCAGCGTTGGTGCTAAAGTCTGTTCTTGCGCACCAAAATGAGATCATCAAATGCATTTTCAAAAATTTGCATTGTTACTCAAAAGGAAGTTATACTTCGCCACTGTAGGGGGAGCATTTCAGCAAAAACAAACCCAAACTGTTTTTCCTTATTCCAACTTTAAGAATAAAGATTTTTATCAAATGTGTATTTTAGTTTTTTGTTTTTTTTTAACCACACCTTAACCTCTGACAAACGCAATAAACTGAATAAGTGATTCTGAGATTGAACACACACCCTTTACTCTGTACGGTTCAAGCATCAAAGTTTCAATCAATAATCCAAAAATCGCTAGTCTTCAGTTCCTTTGATTCTGCTTACCTATCAAAATGGTGCCCCAGCGACGTGATGGTTAAATACTTGGGTCGTTTTTTTTATGGAGTACTTGATGCGGCCCGGACACACGCAGCCTCGATCTCCAATTGATTTTGAGACCCCTGCTCTATCATGTTGCAGCAGCTCAACACAGCAGGAACTTGTATTCTGCCAGCATCAACGCTGTCTTGTTTGTGCTTCCTGTTGTTGTAGATCGTTTTATCATCATTCCGCTGCACTCACTCATGCCAACGGTGAATCAGACGCTGGTCAGTATTTTCCGCCTCCATCTCTCTTCTGACCCCTCAAGCAAACGTCCATTTTGTTTTCTCCTTAATTTTGCCGCAATCCAATCTCAAACGTATCCTCCGCTCCTCCCAGGTGTTTAAACGTCCACCACCTGGTGTGCGGAAGATTGTGATTGCTACCAATATAGCGGAGACGAGGTAAGTGTAAACTAGCTTGCCAGGACAAAAGTTTATTTTCGCTCGAGGCTTTTTCCAGCTTCACTCGTGTGTCTGCAAAGCAGCGGTTAATGATTCAGAAATGTGATAGTGGCTTGAACGGGGCTGGCTCACTGGGGATTTATTAATGTGCTCACTCACAAATTAAAGAAGCTGTCCGTGCTCTCTATTGCTTCTCTAAAAATAGATACTAAATTCCCCCCGAGGGCTCAATTTTATTTTCTACTAGAGCATGATTCTGAGTCAAAACTTCGCATTTTCGAACCGCTTGCTTTGAAATGGTTTTCCGGCTGATTTCATTCCAATCTCATTTTCACTCCCCGCGCCTCGCCTCTTCTCACCTCTTTCAGCATCACCATTGATGATGTGGTTTTTGTGATCGACGGAGGCAAGATCAAGGAAACCAACTTTGACACCAACAACAACATCAGCACCATGACGGCCGAGTGGGTGAGCCTGGCCAACGCCAAGCAGAGGAAAGGGCGTGCTGGCAGGTGCGTATGTATTTGCCTTTGTTTACTCACCGGGGCCATTTTATGGCTGTTAGGGCCACTGTGATTACATGCCATGCCAATTTTCTTTGATCATTTCCGTACGTGATCCAAAAGTCCCAGAATGTTACTAGCTTCTGTTGGCTCTTTCCAACATCAGAGTGTAACTAGGCCTAATTAGCACAAGTTGCTTGCTGAATGCAGTTTCATGTCATTGATTCTCATTTGAGCTTTTTTTTTTTTTTTCTCTTCCCTGTCATAACTTCTATTTTCCCTCTCGTCATCATTCATATGCATAGAGTGTGCCCGGGGAAGTGCTATCATCTGTACAACGGTCTCCGAGCCAGCCTTCTGGATGCCTACCAATTACCAGAAATTATGAGGACTCCGCTGGAGGAGCTGTGCCTGCAGATCAAGGTCTGTTTGCTCGTAACGCACGGTCCAATCATCGGCGGACATTTCAAAAGCACACATCTTCTGGGACGCGCTGAGTTGCTGGAAAGGCACATTTTTCAGCAGTGTGACACATTGAGGCATGTCCATATTAATACATTTAAAAATTCAAAAACAATTTTTTCCCCCTATGTGCTTTGCTTCTTACTGTATGTCCACAACTTCGCGGCATTTTAAGTCCTTCGCCTGTTTCAAGCCACCCGTTGAAGTGATAATTTTCCGACTTCATTCTGGAGCTCTGGTTTTGTGTGGATATCAATGAAGGTCGAGCGGCCGAGTTGTTCTGCCTTGTGCGTGTAGTTTCAGGAGCCTCTTTCGCACTGTCTGTAAAAGCTGGAATATTCCTGTGTTGCTGTAAAAATCTGAGTTTTCACTTCTCTTTTGCTACTTCTCAATACCAATGGCACTGATGGTAATAGGGGTACAAAGATTACAAACATTACACACACTGAATGCGGGCACTAAGTCATCCCACGACCTTCGACGGCACTATCAAAATCTCATCCACACTGGCTGTGAATTCTGGCATTTTTCCAGCTTTTCCCCCATGCCGCTGTATTCACGGCACCAACGTGGAGTAGGGTGATTGATACAAGGGAGGTAACGATAATGTCAATATTGCAATATTAAAATTGCTACTATATCATCGTAGTCATTTCCAGATATTGAAAGCAGCACATCTGTTAAAAATGCTCCATTTGTTTTCCATTTGTGCAGTTCCGGTGCGCTCTACCGGTTTTAGTTTATTGGTGCACTTGAACTTGAATCCGATGGTCCGATTAATGCTCACATGGACAAAATTATGTTATAACCGGACATATATGCAGCGGTTGTCACTCTCATAAATCAGTTAGACCAGAAAATATAACAATACATCTCCATTAAAACAAACAAACAAATAAACAAACAAACAAAAAAACAACTTTTTGCCCACTTCAGCCGAACTCTGCATTGTGAACTGCACAGACTACGATACATGGTAATAATATGACTGACTAAGCCTATTTCTCTGTCACAGCTGTTATGTGTTTTTTGTTTCTCCAACCTGTGCACAGTATCGTGCCAATAATAGTATTGTGACATTCAGATTGTGATAATATTGTATCACGATATTTAATGTTGCATCCCTTGTTGATACAGTCGATTCAATAACATTAAATTTTTGTGGCTTTTCCATAAAGAACTTTTTGTCAGGCATTGGCTGAATCGACCTTCCAGTTTTTGGAGAGCCTGTTAATGTTTTTTTTGTTTTGTTTTTTTTTTCCTGCAGAGATTGTTCTTTTACCTAAATAACTGCACTTAGCACAAAGAACTTACTGTTCACACGGCGCCCTCTGGAGGGGGCGAAGCCATCGCTTCTTCAGCAATGGATTGCCATTTATTTCTGCGATCCTCTGTTTAAAGCCTCCCAATCCACTCACTCTCTGCCTCAGTGCATACTAATGGAACACAAAGGCAAAGGTCACTCCCGTCGAGTGTTTGCACCGGCGGCTTTATTGAGTGTGTTTTTAACGTTGCTCCAGAGGTTCAGCTTTGAGGCATTTGAATACATTTTCACAGTGAAGCCAGCCGGTGAGAGGTGGACTTAATTCATCTGTTTGCTCGCTGAGCAGGTGAACTATAACCACCGTTCTTCTATTTGTGTCTGTCAGATGTATTGGTGTGTGATGATTTTCGTACTCTCTGTTTAGATATTAAAGCTCGGAGGCATCGCTCACTTCCTGCAGAAAGCTTTGGACCCTCCCACTGAAAAGGCAGTGAATCTGGCCATAAAGAACCTCAAAGACCTGGTAAGAAAGAGCCAAGTGTGAACAAATGGGGAATCTTGAAAACAGAGACAAAAAGTTATGTCTTTGGTGTCAAAGTTTACCGTCTTTTGAGCAGGAACAATTGCAGCTTGAAATGATGTTATACTTTCGAGAAAGAAAAAAAACTGAGAATGAGGTTGTGGCTAAAAACACTTTTTGGGTAAAAATACATATATTCAAGAACCTCTGCAAGTAAGACCAATTTAAGTATTGTGAGGTCTTCCAATTTGAGTGTGTCCTATTTATTTTTGCAGTAAATGAACAAATTTCTTTTAGTCTTTGCGTTTTATGGCTTTTATGAACCCTTGCTGTTTTCCCTCTGGGACACAGCCCTAACTCTGCCCCTGGTCGTCATGGCAACTAAAGCAGTACTCAGCTTTGGCCGAGCAGTAAGATGTGGGTGGGGAACTGTTTTGAATGTGGAGAAAAAAATGCATATGTCTCCTTTGAAAAAGGTATATGAGCACTTTATAAATCCTATGAGCACCTCGCCGAAGTCGAATCTCCGTGTGTGTCAGAACGCTTTGGACCATTCGGAGAACCTGACGGCGCTGGGTTTCCACCTGGCTCGCCTCCCCGTGGAACCTCACATCGGAAAGCTCATCCTGTTCGGAGCGCTGCTTGGCTGCCTCGACCCCGTACTTACCATCGCCGCCTCCCTCAGCTTCAAAGACCCTTTCTTCATCCCCCTGGTCGGTCGGCAACCGCCACATGAAAGCGGCAGCAGCAGAAACAATACACGCATGGTCACATGATTTCCTCACTGTATCTCGTGACTCGCTGCTTCTCAGGGCAAAGAGCAGATGGCAGACAAGAGGCGCAAAGTGTTGTCCAGGAACTCCAAAAGTGATCACCTCACTGTGGTCAATGCTTTCCAGGTAGTAGAGCTCATCACATGTCCTTTTGTGGTGCGTTATCCAGAAATCAATCAGTCTTCATTTGTCATCCAACGATTGGTCAGGGCTGGCAGGAAGCGAAACAGCATGGCGGCCGATACGAGCGGGAGTTCTGCTGGGACAACTTCCTGTCTGCTAACACACTCCAGGTGATCTCAGTAAATAAATAAAGCACATTGCCACACTTTTTTTTTTCACACTAATATAAAATATTTCTCAGTTTTATCTTGGAGCTTCAAATTTGTAGATTTTTACAATTTATTTTTCTGTAGTAATTATAAAGTATTGATAACATTGATTATTTTTTTATATCTGTGGGGAGGATTGCGATATTTACAGGGTGTGACATTTTAATGACAATAATTACTTTTCTTTTAAAAAATTGCTATTTATGTGATTATTATTGTGAGCACTTTGGACTGCCTATTGTCAAAACAGGCTCCCTGGGGTGGTATGCAAAGATAATCGCTGCCTGTATAGTTTGATTGCGTTTGACTTTTTTGTACATTTTTATTTATCGTATTGTTTGTTTTTAGACTTTTATGAAGGTACAGTTTTTGTTCCTTTTATGTTCAATATATTTTTTTAATAGAACCATTATTTTATTGCTCTTTTATTTAGATTTCCCTATATGTGTGAGAGCGTTAATGTTCAAACTCAGCATAATGTTACTGTGGCTTACAATATGAAATTGATTTTTTTTTTTACCAAGAAAAAAAAATTATATCGTTTTTGTTAGGTCTACTACGCTACTTGCATTTTACTGTTGGTTTCTCATGCACTCCTTTGAACATGGCGTGCTTACGTGTGGACCTTGTTAGCTTGTGTGCAGATTTGATCTGTGCCATCATTCCTTTCTTTCTCATTTAGATGTTACACAACATGAAGGGTCAGTTTGCCGAACACCTCATGCACACAGGCTTCGTCAGCAGCAAGGACCCAAAAGACCCCAACTCTAATGTCAACTCAGGTGGATAGATAGGAGGAGCTGTCACAGCAAAAAGAGGCCCGGGTGAGCAAAATCATGAAGATTAATGTCCATACAAACTCAAAAAGTTGTGACACGTTCACACTTTCTTTCACTTTTGTTGTTTATTTCATGACCAAACCAGATGGTCAGGCCAGGAGCAGATTTGTTCCCTGTAGTCAATGTGAGGGTTTCGTCAGACTCATGCCGCGCCATTTGGAACGTGGCTGTCTACAACGCTCACAACAGTTGTGCTTCCCTCTGAGCCGCCCTGGCAGAGCTAAAAGCTAAAAACAAAACAGAAAAAACAACCACAACAGATAGGTGGTGCAGCAGCATTATAATGAAATCCACAGTTACTCCAAGTTTGGCTTTACAAGCATAACTTGGAATAGCACCACCACAGTCTTACAAATTCTGCCTGGGTAAAATTATTAGAGCTAAAAGCTGAAAAAAAAACAACCACAACAGATAAGTGGTGCAGCAGCATTAGAATGAAATCCACAGTTACTCCAAGTTTGGTTTTACAAGCATAACTTGGAATAGCACCACCACAATCTTACAAATTCTGCCTGGGTATGTAAACTGTAAATTATTTTTGGGTTATTTGATTTCATTATTTGTTACTATCAATGTTTCGTTTTGAATTGGTTTGGAAGATTGTCTTGTTTATAGCGAGGCAGTGGTGAACATTGTGACTCAGGAGGAACACGTGTTATGCTTTCTAGTGAATATGACTCACCCCTATCTTAGATAGAACTTCAGTTTCACCTCAGCTGACATAAGAGTTGACTGATTTATAATGTTCTTAATTTTTTTCATAACAAGGCACACATTCTCTGTTGCAGGGTGAAAGTGTACACGAAGCACGACGGGAAGGTGTGCATCCACCCCAAATCCGTCAACTATGAGGAGACCAACTTCAACTACACATGGCTCATCTATCACCTCAAAATGAGAACCAGCAGCGTAAGGGGCACTTTTAATCTACCTTTGCTTTTTATACAAAACCCTGCAACGGTGGGATTTTGCTACAACGACATTTTCACACAGTGATACTGCAAAAAAAAAAAAAAAAAGTGTGAATTGCCACCTTTTCCAGGCAGTGTAAAAGACTGAGTGTGTGTTTTGTTGTTGGTGTGTGTGTTTGTGTGGGGGGGGGGGGGGGGGGGTCTTTCAAGCATAAGAACGTTTGAAAGGCAGTTGAAAGGGAGCCTTTTAATCAAATATTCATTCGGGCTAAAACTGCCGACCTTTCACCGCTCGCCCATCTGAGATAGCGCCAAAAGCGGCGGCGGCGTACACACACACGCACACACACACTTGTATACAGAGCCCCACACACACACACACACACACACACACACTCGCATACAGAGCCCCGGAGAGTCAGAGAAGGGTGGCGATGACGTTAAGGTGCTGTGATGCTTTCATCTGTGGTGGGCTGTCACGTTCCTTTTACACAGGGCCCAGGCAGTCGTCTCCACTTTCTTCCTCCTCTTTTTTTGTGATGTTATTGTAATTGTCAACGGAGCTTCCAAGAAGAAATGTGCTTCTTAATGCAGACTGCCTCTTCAATAGCCTTTTTAGGATTTATTTATTACCTGCGCCAAGCGGAACTTCTGCAATGTCCTGGGCTTTTTTGATAGATTTCACCATGGATTTGAAAAGCCATTACCTTTTGTTGAGAATACACACATAAATAAACCCTTCTCTTGAAACTAATTCCAATAATGAAGCCCTAACCCTAACCTTAATCCCCAATCTTTACCCTTACCCCAAAAGCAGAGCCCTGACTCTAACTTTAACCTCCAATCCCAAATCTTGAGGCCCAAACAAGTTTGCAAACCCAAAACCTACACCCAAATCCTGCCCTAACCAGCCTCAACTTTGACTCAACCCCGAGTCTGAACCACCCCGAACTCAATCTTAAACCCTACCCCAAATGTTACCTCTCTCCTAACCTCCACGCCCTGTTTCATGCACAGCCTTCTAGCCCAAACCCAGCACCCAAAACCCAAGACGGATTTACTCCTAACCTCCTAGATTTTACTGTACCCTTAATTCCAACCCCAACCCCTAATTCTGAACCCTAATCTCGGAGACAAACTCCTACCACTAAGCCCTAATTCGAACCCTAATTTAACTCAACCCTACCCCAAACCCCTCAACTCCAAGTCCAACTGGTAACCTTAAACACTAAACCAATCCCTAACCTTCTGACCTAACCCTGAACACTAACCCTTCAGCCTCAACCCGTAAACCCAAACCACTACCCAAATGTTCATCCCCAACCCAAATCCCTAACCTGAGTCTATTTAGTCTCAAGTACTTGACACCCCCCCCCAAGAGGTTTATATTTGAATATCGGTGCCACAACATAACACCCAACCGACAGCTTTGCCCCATTAGAAACGCCTCAGCTACTGTCAACATAGTTCCATGATACCAAGATGGCGCAAAAGCACTACGTCTATCTGAGACAGGGCTTAGTCGTCATCTTGTGGCATCTTATGGTGTTCGAGAGAGCGCGCAAAAACTGCAACCTTTTCTGGCGAGTAACAGGAAGTTTCGATTTGATAACTTATCTGTGATAAATGATGGAGGAATAGCCAATATTGATCGTCAACTGAACATTCATGAAATGTGTTTGTTTTAGTCAGATGAAATGTATTTTCCAAACTAGATTTACTCCCCCCGATAAAAATGTTCAAATGTGACTTCAAAGATGCCTGCACAGTCCATTTGGTAAAGGCTTTACTTGGGTGGTAGATTTTCATGATGGCAAATGGTGCAGCAATTTTTCTTCTTCTTAGTCCTAAAAGTTTATCTTGACTTTCTTGCATCACACGTCTTCACTTTTCCACATTTTCAAGTGTCCCCCCCCTCCCCCCCATAAGCAAGGGAGGACAAGATGACATTTCTTCTTACAACGGGCAGACACTTTTCGTGTCTCTCTAATGGGCCGCTGTCAGACGCCCAGTCAGGCTGTGTGTCACACTTTCTGCGGCTCCTCAGATCTTCCTGTACGACTGCACCGAAGTGTCACCCTTCTCGCTGCTGTTCTTCGGAGGCGACATCACCATCCAGAAGGACGACGACCAGGAGACCATTGCCGTGGACCAGTGGATCGTCTTCAGGTCGCCGGCACGCACAGCTCACCTCGTCAAGGTAAGACAGATAAGCACATACAATTGCATACAGTCATTAAGAATTGCTATCTTTTTTTTCTTTTTGTATATAATCCAGCCTGACAAGCAATTTTGTTCAATCATATGTTACATTACTGTGGACGTTGTACCCTAATAATGCTTCATTTAAATATATTCATTTTTATTCATTTACATATCACCGTAAAAAACGAAGTTCATCGCTTTTTGCAGCCTTTCATTCTCGTCATCCTTCCCGCAGAATCTAAAGCGAGAGCTGGATTCTCTGCTGGAGGACAAGATCCGCAAGCCGGCACCTGTGGACTGGCAGAACCACCATTCCAAAGACTGCGCCGTCATCACCGCCATCATTGACCTCATCACCACGCAGGAGATGACCGCAACAGCGGCGGGGCCTGAGGGTGGCGCCAGAGGCCACGACCGAACGTGGGCCCCCAGAGGACAACACATTTACTTCAATGACGATGGCGATGATGACGACAATTAGCTTGGGGTGAGACCTGAGTAAAATAATTGCAGGTTAGTCACCGCATTTATTAGAAACCTTTTGGTCCTTTCTTCCAAGCTGGACTTTCGAAAGTTGAAAGCAGGGTTTTTGTATTCGATTCGAACGGTCACCTTGCATCACTGTTTTCAAAGCACATCATGTTACAGCCTGCGTCTCCTCAACAGCCACCTTAAACACGAACAGAATTGTGAAGACCTTTCATTTTGTATGTAAATGAAAGGTTGTGAGTTAAGAAATAAAAACTGTCTTCTTCAGTGTTTGTCAAACCTTAATTGGGTCCAACTCCTCCCTGGGATCACAAAATACATGACACATTGCCATAACATCCGCACATCATTGCTCTCTGGTGGAAAGCTTGCATCTTCAAGAATCAATGCTTTTGAGGAAATCAAGAAAAAAAAAAAACGCATCATACCTCATATTGCTATCTTATACCGTCGCACACCAACTATATCTCGAATATATGCTAAAAAATCATTGTGTTTAAGATTGTTAATGTATTGGTTTTTAAGCTGTTTTCAACACTTTAAATAGATTTATAATGCATAGAAATAAAGGACGACCATGGGGAGAAACTATTCGTTTTGATTTGTGAAACAAAATGAAACAGTCCAAATTTGGAGAAATGGCGGATAGATACCTGACAGCAATGGACAAACTTTTTTTTTCTCATAAAAATGGGATTTGCTTTTATACTTACAATAGTAAACAAGCTTCAGATGTTTGTTGGTTGGTTTTTTTGCGATATTTTTTAGTATTAACTTTTATCAACTCCCGCCAAAGTAGTACAAATCAATTTTACACATCATGTGAAATTAAGTCGGAAAATCTTACTTTTCAAATTACATGCGTTCCTTTTCTGAAAAATTTACAATGTAAAGATGCTCCTTAATAAATCAACAATTTACCACATCATACGATTCGCTGCAGAGATCAAATTGTAAAACTGTGCCCTCCAGCTTTCTCATCGTCTCTTCTCATGTAGAATTCTCCAGGTTGGGCAAGGCAACCTCTGCATTTATTTGCTGCTTGGAAGCACAAAATTTGCCGACATGTCAATAAAACACTTCTTTTTCAATGTACCAAAAAAAAAAAAAAAGTGTCTTCCGCACGACTGACTTTGTCATTGCCTTCCACTGGGCTTCTTTCTTGTTCGCCAAAACACAGTGTGAAAATGATTCCACTTGCCAACAATTAAAGTCCGAGTTGGCTATTTGAAAAATAGTCACCACAGTGGTCGGAAAACACCAACTCATGATGAACAGGAATGTGTGACAGAACAAAGAAGTTGTGTGTCTGTTGTGTGTGTCATAATTCATATCCTCAATGAGTCAACAATTTAGCTTTTATTGAATACGCTTGACGTGACATACGTAAAATCACCGGACACTTCATTAGGTATACCTGTACCAGCTAAAACACCCAGTACCAGGAGCCGTAACAAAAATTTCTTTTACAGCATTTACAGTAGAAGTCACAAGTTTAGAGATACTTTGTCAAAAGTGGTTCTGAAATTTTGACGGCGAATAGGAAAGTATCTACATTGTATTCTATCCCGAAAACAAAAATTTGAGACTTCTTTACATATTTACACATAGTAGTAAACTAATTTACATGTTACTGCAATTCATGCTCGCAAGTATAAATCTTAGGGGAGTGGGTGCAAAGGTCTTGGCCAGACCCTCCCCATGGCTGTGGCAGATGGTCATGTTAACGCCTCCAGTTGCGAGTGAACAACCTCACACAAATTCACGCACCTTCGAATCAATTATTTACTTAACTGCAGATGCGGGAGGCATTTTTGGCTTAAGACATAATCTTAGCATTATATGATGAACGCCCGCCTATTTTATGTTCGCAAATTTACCTTTCTGACGAGTTTTCTAACTATCGATTGTCATTAGCTGAAAGACTCAACGGCATTTTGGTGCCAAGGAACTGCGATGATGTAAATTGAGGAACTCCGTTTTGACAAAGTAGTGTTTTGCCACCATCTTGTGGCAACTTGGTGTCAAGGAACTCTGATGAAGTTGAGGAACTTCATTTAGACAAAAGTAGTGTTCAACACATCTGGCGTATGCCTCAGTCATTGTTGCTGTTTTGCTTAGCAACAGAATTTAAACATGAGCAACAGCGGTTGTATTAACAGAGGTCAATTCAGTCACTTCCATTAAAATGTACTTCAATTATTACCTGGGTCTGTTGTGCATAGTTAGGAGGTGCATATTTGAGGCAGGCTGCCATTGGCTCCAGGTCACCTGTGACCTTAATGAGCGCAAGCGCTACAGAAAATGGATGGATGAATATTTGAGAGAGGGTTGTATTTTTTTCTGACTCACCCAGGAAGTCCATTAGAGAGGGGGCCACTATTAGAGAAATATGGTCATAAATTTCAAGTTGTGTAGGAGTTCTGGGCATCAGCACCCCATCTCAAAAATTGGTTCAGTAGCACCCCCTTGATGAAATAATTCTGCCCAAAAGGCTTGTTTCACTTCGCAACATAAAAATAGGTCGGTATGTCTGTTGTAGTAGACCCACAAAGTCTCAAGAACCCAAGAAGAGACAGCAGGGCAGCCATTTTGCTTTGAAGCGGCCATTTTAGGGTTGCTTTACAGAGTTGTGTCTTCAATGTTGGTGCAATTACCTGGTGTCCCAATAACTTAAGTTTGTTTTGTTTTTTTAAGAGATCTTGAAGCCATCAAGTTGATAGCACCTTCTCAAGGACCTATGAGTTTTTCATAAGATGTCCGCCATCTTGATGTTCTCCCTGTTATTCATGGTCACCAACAAATGTGGACAACGGCTCAGGCTAAAGTCCCTTTGGCCCCTGAAGACATCAGTGTCCATGTCACACATTGGTCTCCAGGCCCTGCAGGCGGTCCATCCTCTGCATGTTGCGCTCGATGGTGGCCTGACACGTGATGGGCTGGGCGCACTCTGCCAGGAACCAGCCGCGCTCGCCGTCACGTACACGCTCGCCCTCGTACCAGCCTGACACAAAGACAGGGAGAAACCTCAAGTTCAGTGGGCATAGAAGATCATTATTATCTGCAGGTTTTCATGATTATTGTTTTTGTGGTATTTCTTTTTACCTTTTTTCAACCCTTATGTCATCGTTCAGACCGACAAGAGTATCAAGACACATAAATACATGAAAATGTTAGTTTCTTACCATCTTCTACCCTCTGTGAGACGAGCATCACGTCAGCCACCTGCAGGGACAACTCATCCGGCTGTTTGGCCGTATACGTTCTGATCACCTCCACCTGCATGGCGTCTAAAACAGCAACACGCACTTTATTCTTAAGGACTCCTTTTGGACATCACACGTAAGCGCGGTCGTTTTATTCAACGACCACACGGGGGCGCAATTGTCTTACTGGTCCTGTCCTGACTCTTGTCTTTGTTGACATTGTGGCCCAGCGCGCTGATCCACCGAGCACGCTCATTCCTAAAAACACACCAAAAGCACTTTGTGTCACTTAGCAAGTCGGCACAACATTAGGTGCACGTCATGTGACTGGCAGCATTTTTGACCCATTTCAGCCATCTTGTATGTCTCACTTGTTTCACTGTTACCTTTTCTATTGAATAATCATGACAAAAAAAAATCACATTTTGTACAAATATTGTTTAAACAATTACCAGTAAGTTCTGCGGAAGAGGTTTCATCCCAAAATGTATTTTTATGTTTATTACAAAATATTCACGCGCAATTATCATCATGAAAATGAATTCTTGAATATCAAAATAGCGAATTGCAAATTACGTTCAAAATAGTCTAGTTTTAATTTTTTGTCATTTATTTCACAGCATATGTACAAATTAATAAACATATATGTAATTAGGGCTGCAACTAAAAATTATTCGAATAATCGATTAATCCGTGAGTTACTTCTTTTATACTCAGTCAGATAAAAAAAAAAAAATTCCGGGACATTATTTTTTACTGACAGTGCAGAAAACAGAGTGTTATCGTTGTTAAAACAGATTTTACTCTCATCTTAGATGGTGCAGGTGTGCATGGGGAGCAGTGAGAGCTTCCACAGAATGGGCCTCATTGAGTGGATTTGAACGGCTCAGCAGGTTTGGACACAACGGCGGTGTGTTGTCAGGCTGACAAGTTGAAGAGAAAGCGGCACAAAGGCAAAAGTCTCAGGAGGCCACTGTTCTCTGTCGTTCTTGTCTGATCCGTGGGAAGAAAACGCACACACCCATGGTGGGCGGAGCCACGCAGGTCAGTTTCCACGTAACTTTATCCGTGGGTTTCACCTGTTCCCACATCCCACTGAGCTGAGGGTTAGGATCTCGAGAGTGAAGGGATTTGAAGGGATAAAATGAGTGTTTTCTGGGGCTGACTCATAAAACATGAAGGAACATGCTGATGCAAGTAAAGCTTGCACTCTCAAACATGCAAAGACTGTGAGTCAGCCAGGATTATTGTTTTCCAGTTGTGCATTTGGCCTTTTGATCCAATCTAGGACACATGGTGGCTCACGTTGTCCTCTTTAACGGTCATAAGATGTCGTAAAAATTGGACTTTACGCAATCAGGATTTTGGGGGGGCCGATCAGTGAGTTGAAATAAACCACTCACAGATCTGATCACAAGAAGGCGCAAAATGTCCATTTAGATGACTTCTTTAAAGCATATACGTATGTACTGTTTACAGAGCATCAGCAGAAGTATTTGTGCCGACGTTTAACAATCTTTTCCATGCCCTCAGGAAGGAAAGAGGAAAAAACATTATTTGAATATGAAACATTTGTTTGAAAAAAAGAATGAGAAGAAATTGATTTTTAGTAACAATGATGCTGCTTTCAAAGCTTTGAATTATTCTGCTTTTCTGCATCTGGTAAGACTGCGTACTTCGACGCCACGTCTTTGGTTGTCAAAGTTGCTTGTTACCGCCAATACTGGTGTAGCTCATACTACAAATTCAATCTGTGTTTTTACATACTTGGTCAGTAAAGATGACCTTGATTCTGATCTTGATTGGAAGCACAAATTGTGGCAGTTGGAAGGGGTTCGTGGTGTGGTTCTGACATTTCTAAGGCGACACAGATTTGTTTCTCGGAGCGATTTCTGTTTTGAGTGTGTCTGTCGTTAGAGGCTTTATTTCGAATGTTTCGCAAATTAGCATTGCCATAGTCATGGTTTAAATTTGGAAATAAACTCTCAAAGACAAGTTGTCAATGAAGCACACCTGGAAATGAGCAACTTGACTCTAAAATGGCGACTTCAAATCAAAACG